ATGGACTCAAGGGGCAGATATCAGGCATTTAAACCCCTCTGCCTCCCGCTTCCCTCACCTGAAAGAGAGTTTAGATCCCTGGGGGAGAAAAAAAATTCTTTCTTGCTCCACTGGAGAAACATAGAAAGAGGCCAGAATAGCTCAGTTTCCTGGCTGAGCGTTGACAGATAGGTCTTGGTGTTGTGAAACAGCCCAATGGAAAGGACAGTGGAATGCCATCAGTTATCTCGGAGCAGGGAAGAACTCCTGGTCGTAAATCTACTGGGTGTTGCAACAATTGACAGGGGAGTTTTACTGGCTGTTATTCCTCTTGTACAGTATTGTTTTGAATGCTTGTTTAATCATTGTTAATGTGAAATCATTTTTTCTTGGACTTTGTAGCAGTTTATTATAGACGTTGCAGATAATCATCAGTGTTCTTTATAAAAACAGGCGAGGATTAAAAAGCCATAGGTGAGTCTGCCTTGCCCAGAGCAGGTTCGTAGTGAGATTTGGTAAGCTGATTTTGAGCTGTTTTTCTTTTGATCTTCCCCTCCCTGCTTCTGAGTATACCTTTATAAATGTCATCATTGTCACAAAAGGAAGTACAAAGAAATGGAGGTCCACCTCCAGAGATTTTTTTTTCTTTTGGCCAGAAAGAAAATAATAGTAATAATAGCTGGACTTTATTTCCAAGGATTCCAAAGACTCTTCATATCATTTTTTAAATGCTTTGTTCCAAGAGTTGTTCTAACAGGAGCTACTGAGAATAAAAAGAGTTTATTAAGTGATTCTACAGCATTCAGTTCTGCCTAAACGCACCCTTCTCAGAAGCTTCCATGACCCCCGGGAGTCTCTCCAAGAAATGAAGCAGGAGAAGGTGCTCCCAGCTCCTTGTGCACGTGGGATCCTAATAATGGATTTACACTTCTGTCTCCTCTCCTTGGAGAGTGAGTTTCTGGAAGGCAGGGATTATCTCTTAGTCATCTCTGTTTTCTCGCAAGTTTCTAACACAAGGCCTGGCACATCAGACTTAATGATCAGGAATAAGAAATGGATTTACATCCACTTGAAACCACCCATGTCAGTGGAATGTTCTCCTAAAAATACCTTGCTTAAAGCTTAACCACAAGGCTTCACCATGTCAATTTTAAAATGCCCTGGCAAGAGGGAAAGCTGAAGTCTCAGTTCCATTGCTGGGCTGTTAAAAGGGAAAGAGGAGGGGGCAACAGACAGATTTTGACAAGTTAAATGTGGGCCTGAGAAAGATCTACACATTTTTCTTCTTCTAATTGTTTGCCAAATTCACTGTTCTTTCGAGAAAGCACGCGTTTCTAATGATTAACATTCTGGGTTGTGGGAATTTGTACTTCATAACAATATGATGCTTGTGTTCCTTTACGTGCTCATCTAGAATATTAGTATAAATAGTTTCTCTGATGAGTTACTAGGTTTCTGAGATAAGTCCTTCCTTTTACTATAGCTGACAACTCAGGATTCCATGAAGTGATATTGCTAACTACTAGTGAGAGGTTTGGATAGCTAATGGAAATTATGTTCCATTGGCCCCCCTTCTGGGCTCCCCAAATGTCTCTCTAAATTGTTTGTTGACAGCATTAATACCTGGAGAATTTACTCAAAACTAGTAGATTATTTTTCTCCTCTTCTCGCCCAACCCCATGTCACCCATAACTCTTGTTTTCTAAAGAAAAATTATCTTCAAAATTGCCAACATTTCTTATCTAGAGATAAGGAACAAGTCAGTCATCAAATTCACCCTTTCCTTTCATTCATAGAGCTACATAAAAACTCTCACCCAAAGCACTGTGAAGCTGCATGCTTGCCAACTTCAAGATAACATAAAATATTACATAATCAATTATGGAAAATAATGAAATGGAATGCTGGCATGGAAAACCTCCTCAGAGAGTGTTAAAACAAGGAATCAATTGCTCAGGAGGAGTGTTAAAATTGCAATCAGTCAAGAAGTCTTTACTGAGGGCCAGCTGTGGGGCCAGACCTGCCAGCAAGTGTGGGAATGGTCAGATGCAAGTTGCTGGTGTGTTCATTGCTGGGTAAAGATTATCGTTGGCGCTCTCTCTCCCTCCCTCTCCCTCCCTCCCTCCCCCTCCCTCCCTCTCCCTCCCCCTCCCTCCCTCTCCTCCCCCCATACACACACACACAGACACACACACACACACACACACACACACACACAGAGTCAGGAATAAGGTCTGAAAATGATATACCCCACTCTTTTACTGAACATGAGACAATAAGATAACCTTATTTGCAAGTGTATCCTCAACATCCCCAAAGAAAAGAAGGCAGGAAAAGTCAGATTCTTATCTCACAATTTGAACATGCTTGATGCTGGCAAGCTCTGCTCCCATAGTATTTCTGTCATGTTATGTATGAAGGATAGGGGACCATCAAATGCAAATGAAGAGGAAGAACTCCTTAATGAGATTTCTCCAGAAAATAGGCTTCTTTTAATTTTCATTCACCCTTCCTCCTTTTCTATGTGGCCAGCAGACGATCTCTCAGCCCTTTGATTTTTCCACCTGCAAAATGGGAGTAATAAATTTTCTTGCTGTATAAGTAGGTTCTTAAGCTGGAATCCCCTCCAGAAGTCCATAAATGCACCTTGAAGAGTCAATATTCCCACATCCATCTTGAAATTATTTGGAACATTAACGTGTATGGTAATTGTTTCTGGGGAGACAATCTCAAAGTATGGTATTTTAGGCTTTCCCGAAAAGAATGTTAGATAAATAACTAAAGCGTCACATCACAGAAAAAATGTACAGTGGAACCAAATTCTCATCACAGACTAAAAACTTTGAAATAAGACACTGATAGTGTGTTCGCTGGAATGAGAACATCAAAAACCCCGCAGAGCAAAGTGCGCTTCGTTCTGAAATCACCCCAGGCATCTGAGAGAGACAGTTCTGGAATCTGCTCTGAGCGCTACGACATGTACGTTGCTAGAACCTTTGGCCACAGCTCCTTGTGTCAACTGTTTGTGAAGAACATTTAGGTGGGTCTCCGTCAGCTGCTGCCCATAGCCTGACTGTAACACCACACAACACTCTGGAGATTTCCGCTTAAGAAGAGCGTGACCTCCTACTGTCGCTAGACCGCTGACCAGTGTTTGGAGGGCATTCTCCCCCGTGAGAGTAATTTTCACAAGGTGGGGACTACGTTTACCCGGTTCACCTTTATGTCCCAGTCCTGGCGCTTATACTCAACAGAGAATTGGCTCTTAAAAATATCTGTTTGCTTAATGAATGAAATTCTTGTGGTCAGACAGACATACTGGTTCAAAATGTTTCTGATGGAGATGCTTGGGGATAGCTTTTCCTGATCACAGAGTCTGATTGTAGCTTTGATCTCTACAATGCTTTTTTTGCTTCTAAACAAAAGGGTCTTCCAATTGGGAGCCTTCTGTTTGTTGTTGTTCCTTCATTTATGTATTGTTTTGCATTCGACAAAGGGGATTTCCCATCCACTATCTCATTTTATCCTCATGACAAGAACTATCTTATATATTTTCAGTTGAGACAATAAGGCTTGGAGAATTAAGTGACTTGGCCAAGCTCTCATAGCTGGGAAGTGTAGAACTCTGCCTCAACTCCTTGTTTTTACTCTAAGTTCTGTGTTCTCTTGACCACGTTTGCTGTGTTCTGGACTCACAGAAATAAACTCAGCCACAAGCTCAGATCATTACCAATGTATGAGTGGAAACTTCCTAAGAATCTTCCAACTATCCAGAGTCTCCTTGAGTAGCCACTTAGAAATGAATTTGTTAAAAGTGAGTTAAATTAGTTTGGTTTAGAAAATTTTAGCACCTCTTGATGTAATTTGGAGACAGCCTAGATCTTGAGAGAAAGAAAGAGAATCTTAGGCATACCACTTGACCTCTCTGAGACCCTATTTTCTCATCTGTAAATTGAAGATAGTGATACCAGTTCTGGTAACTTCAAAGGCATGTTCTGTGAATCAAATCTAAAACAATACACAAAAACTCTAGAAACTGTTACACAGCCTACCAATGTCAGGTGTTATTTTTGTAAATACATAGTGTATGTCTAAACATGGTCACGGCAGTTGGGTACACTGAGGTCTTTGGTTGGTACACGTTAAACAATGAAGAGTGAACTGTTAAAAATAGCCATAGAAATGGATCAGGATGCTCTCTATGTTTAGACCGTATCTATTTCACGTGGATATGCGGACTGTACATGAAATAGATACGGCTTTGTCATTGAAGAATGTAGTCCCCTGGAGGGCAAGATGGCATATGGATAAAATGCCCACTATGACACAGCACTTTTCATTTGAATTCTCACAGCAGTCCTGGGAGGGAGGAATTGTTTTGACTCATTTTTCCAATAAGGAAACTGAAGTTTAGAGAGTTTGTGAGAAAACTGATCAAATCATAAAGCAAGTGCAAGTTAGCTTCAAGAACACGGTTGGCAATTATTCAAAGTCCAGCACAGTTTGGACTGTCACTGGACACTTATGACAAATAATGGCAGTTTGCCCCTGTCTCCAAAAGTCATTTGGGCTGTCAGGCTAATTTTGTTTTATATGAATCCTGTTGGTTTGGCAGCTTGCTAGTATCTGTATACTATTTCAGCCTCGGTTAGATACACAAGCCCAGGTTCTGTGGGGTCGTTCTAATGGGTCTACTGAGGACAGGCTGAGGCGCCTGCACGTCCCACGAGCAGCCTGTGATAGCTCTATTAATGTTAGATAGACCAAGCTAATGGAGTACCTTTTCCTAGCAGCTCATTGATTATAAATACTTAGCTTAAGTATTTATGTGTGGCCTAAAAAGTATTTGTCCAAATGAGAATAATGATTTTTAGGAGGAGTGATGTAAATTCTGAGCATCTGTGTTTTGGTGACCATCAGTGGAGACGTCGTTGCTTAGAGTGAGTTCTCTTATGTAGAAAATTATGCAAATACAAAAAAGTCCTGAATAACAGGGTCATTTTTTTCTATTTCTTTTACAGGTTGATGACCAAATGAAGCTGCTTCAGAACTGCTGGAGTGAGCTCTTAATTCTCGACCACATTTACCGACAAGTGGTACATGGAAAGGAAGGATCCATCTTCCTGGTTACTGGGCAACAAGTGAGTGTAGAGACTAAAAAAAAAATTGTCTTTTTATTACGCATGTTCAGAATGGCAGAAATTTAACTAGGACAGAAGCACTCTTCTTGTGCTTTGAAAGGGAAAGCTTGGCTGCAAATAATGTAGGAAAGCTGACTTGGGGCACTCTGTTCTTCTCTGGTGATTACAGTTAAACTTGCAAAAGCAGACCAGATCACAGCCATTCTGTGCTCGCTGTCTGCTGGGAGTGAAAGTTGTGCTCTGAAGCGTCACCAATTGCTAAATCAAAATGAATGATCAGTTCCCCGGGTTTTTTCCTCGAGCTTCTGCGTTACTCTATCACACTTGTTTGTCAGCTATTCAAAACCCCCTTTTTTTTTTTTTTGCTTGTGATAACATGGGTTTATAACATCATATAAATTTCAGGTGTACATCATTATACAAAAACCCTTTCAATTGTGGAATCCTTACTATTTTGGAATCATATTGGTGGAAGAGACTGATTCAGGTATCACGTATAATCTAAATATTTGGCACAAAGGCAAGCGAAGGAAAAGGGACAGGAGTTTTAGTTTTCAAGAGCCAGTCAGCATTCAAAAGGAAGATATAAAAAATTACTGTCAGGTCCTACTCCTGTTTGCATTGATATTTGTTCAGTCAACAAATATTGCTGAACATCCTACAGTGTGCCAGTCACTACTCTGGGGCTTGGGCACATATTAGGGAACAAAACAGGAAAAGATTCCTGCACTCATAGAACTTAACATTGTAGCAGGGAGAAGCTGACAATTAATAACCCTAATAAACAAACCTATAATATGTTAGGGGTCCAAGTGCTATTAAATAAAAGAAAAAAAAGGAACGGCTGTGTAAAGGAGAATCAACACACATCCATGGGTGTGTGTGGCAGTGGGACCCATGGGTTACAGTGGTGGATAGGAATGGTTGGTTTGGCCTTATGGAGAAGGTGACATTTGCGCAAAGACTTGGAGGAGGAGAGACAGTTGGCCTTGTGGACATCTGGGGGAAGAGAGAGTCTACTTAATGGACCTAATTCCAACTTACAGGATTTTGGCTTGTCCCTCCTTTTTCTGACCCTCCATTTAGTAACTGATGTGTTATGAAAATAAATGTATGGAACATCATAATTCCGTTGGTCCACTGGGTCATTCCTATTCAGGCATCACTGAGTGTCGAGCGATGCTTCACTACTTCAGTTCTCAGGCACCGAGATCTTTTACATCCAGCCATAAATGTGTATGTGCTGTGGAACCACAGCAGTGCATATCTGAAAATGAAAGGCTGTCTCTATGCCATTTGCTGTATTATTAATAAATCACATTTTCCCAATCAAATTAAAGGCAAGCACTATTTCAAAGTTTTTGCAAATTGGATCAATTCGACCATCTCCATCACTATTTGGTCCCTGCTTTCTGTACCTCTCGTGAGAAAGGCTTTCTAGATGAGAAAAGAGAGTCTCGATGTGTTTGACTTCTGTGCTTTCAAATTTTTGGTAGCATTTTCATCCTGTGACCCAAGTCTTGAGAGGAAATGTACCCATTTTCAGAGTCTTATCACTGGGTATGCCTCCCACCCCTGCCCAACCAGAGCTGCATTAGAGCAATAAGACTCAGCCCACGAGTTACTTTCATTTCATTTCCCTCTGAGTTTCAGAAATGAAATGGGTTTGTGCCGTTCTTTCTCCAAGCACTTCCATTCCTGCTCTGTAGAAATACTCCTCATTTCACATTTCATTTTGCCGTAAGTGCTGTCCCTGGGTAAAGGTAATTACCACTTAAAAAGTAGAGAAAGTGCATTTCTTGTCTCTCTGATTTTCAAAACCAGGAACAGTCAAGGAAGAGATGGTATTTATAGTCTTTAGTATCAATTATTGCTACTTCATGTTTTTCCATCACAACTGGCTGAGAGACTCCCTGTGGAGAACTGGGCTTGTTCTTACACCTGTTCTGCAGCTGGATTCTTCTCGCCCCCCACCCCCTTTTAAAGTGAGCCACATTTCTGTCAACCTCTCCCTACCCTCTTCTATCCAATCCCAGTAGATAGCCTAACAGTGATTCATTATGACTGGACATTCTCATTTACAGAAATTATGGAACAAATCTTTTATTTGCTCTTGGGGAACAGGCTAGACAAAACATTTGAATGCACCTCTGAGCTTCCTGTAATTTCTTAAGATGAAAGCAAAAAAATGCTACAGAGGAAGACCTTTCCAAAGTACATGACCTACCTAACAGAATGAGAAAGACATTTTTTTTTTTTTTTAAAGATTTTATTTTTATTTAATTTTTTCCCCCCAAAGCCCCAGTAGATAGTTGTATGTCATAGCTGCACATCCTTCTAGTTGCTGTATGTGGGACTCGGCCTCAGGATGGACGGAG